AAAAGTGAACGGATATTTATAAATATATCATCTATTGCAGTTACTAAATGCTTCTAGAATTATTCTGCATTACTAGCTGAATCCGCTTTGGGCATAAAAACCAAAGAGTTGCAATTAGATCACATGAATATTCAAAATCAATTCCAATTAAAAGTTTCCAAGACTAACAGAACGCTGTAGAAACAGAATGTACATTTGCTTCAGACATCAATAGTTCTCTGCAACAGGTCTAGAGGGAAAAAGCCTCATAAGAAATGTCACCAATGACCAAAGGCAAAACACACCTAGGACTTGGAATGTCACCACCATCCCAACCAGTGCGCTGCCTCTCTCTATCATTTCTCGGGATACTGCAGTGTCTTTCATTAAGAACATCAGGTTCTGAATATAATGAGTTGCTTTGGTTAACTGATACAATCTATATACCTGCAAAACCAACTCTAAGTCATCAAGATCTTGATTTAGTTTCAAAATGAATCTGAAACCAGAATAGGTCTACTACCTCAAAAATAATGGGAATTAGAGGCCAGCAAGATGATTGACGCCTCTGAAGAAGTCTCCCAAAGACATATTGAGCTGCACAACCAACAAGGAAAGGAGCCACCGCAACCAAAGCAGGGAAACCAAGCACTGGCCAAGTTACATAGACTGCAAAGAGGGGAACAACAACCCTCAATCCCGATGTAAAGAAAGAAGAAGATAAGTAGCCCCTTAGACCTGTGATGAGACCCCATCTCTTTGCACTGAACTCCAAATATGGCCTTTGGACATAATCGGTTACAAGAAGGAATATTCCAAGACCCCCATAAAACACAGCATCAAAAGATAAGGAGACTGCAATTTCTACAAACACACAAAAATGCCATGTAAAATGAATATTGGAATTATTTTATTTCAGAAAAACAGAACTGTAGTGTCACAAATTAAATTTGACTAACGTAAATATAAGTGACGTCTAAAGTAAACAAAGCTCCCTGACAAAATGGTTAATTCCAACTTGGGTAAGGAGAGTATCAAGTTATGTCTACCTCTTGGTTCTTATGCTATGCCAGTTTCATACATTAACTGAAAAGTTACCAAAATGCAAGATCCATACACATGGTACCTCATCCCCTTCTCAGTCAATTTTTATCTAACCAATAGAGATTAAAGTGTTTTAATAAGATAGCCAAAATGTCAAATTCCAAATACTTGGGATCATCTTCACCATCCTCACTGCTATCTCTTTCCATGTAGGCACCTCATGCCCTGGCATTTTGGCCTTAATTATTACCACCTAGGCATGCGTCAATCTCTTCATTCACAATATCAAAACTCAAAAGTTGTAATTTAGAATTATGTCATTTACATCAGCATGTCATAAACAGAAACACTTGTCTATGGGGTAAATGATAAAAAAGAAAAGCAATAACATTTCAGAATAACAAGGCATTATGCATTAACAAGTCATAACCAGGACTTAGTAAGCTCAATCTGACAGGACCACAATTTGAAACCAATAGGATAGGATTCAAAGTGAGGAAAGGGTTGAGTTAAAATTGAAGTACCGAGTAGCATTTCATCCTTGACAAAGGCCTCAATTAAATTAGCAAGAAAGAACTGTGGAAGAATCAATGAGGATATCAATGCCACAGGAGCTAGAACCCAGAGGAATGAGGTCTTATCTTCTTGAAAAGGGGATGACATCAATTTACCCTCTTCTACCAGCTGATGAGATAGCCCATGGAAAGAAACAGAACCTGATTTACCACGGAACGGCTCTGCCCCATTAAACCTGCCTATCAGTGCATCAAAATGTCCCCTTTCCGACAGATTCCAGTTTGAGACAGTACCAGGAGTGGAAGCACATGCTATAGTTCCTCTTTTCGAGCTCAACAATGTCGACCCCTTAAACACACTCTGGGAATTAGGCATGGTATACACTGAAAAACAACAAAAACTGAAATATAAACAAATTCTCCATAACATAAGAGCAGAACAAGAATCTTGGTCAGATGCTAAGTAAATGAAAAGAAAAAAAAATCATAAAACCCAGAAAAATTAAGAGCGAGAATTTACATTTGGATGCATTTCCAAGACGAAGTCGTTGATCCCTTGACAGGAAATTACTTGTAGACAGCTTGAAATTACAAGTAGAATGCAGAGTGAGCTAAATCAGCAGATTTTAGAAATAATAACAATGAAAAAGAAAGCGAATGTGAGATTAAGGGGCAATGGGAAATATACTCTTACAGATTTATATGAGAAGGGGCGCCGATTTGATAATCTGAAATTCGGGGCTGAAATTCCAAGGCAAAATGACTGCAGTTCCATTGTTGGAGATTAGGGTTTAAGCTGGACAGTGAGGGTTTATCCTGTTTTTGTGCTGAAGCCTGGGAGGCTGGGACGGTGAAACCGCTTACAGAGTTCGGTTGCTTTTACATTTTTCATTTTTTTTGGGGCCATATACTGGTCAGTTATGGTCATCGTTAATTTTGTTAATGTAACTAAAATTCTCGATTTTAAAATTTTTTAATTTAATTATTAAAAATAATTCATATTTATAAAATTTTAATATATTAAAATTAATTTTAAATAAATATTTTTAAATATTATAATTAATTATTTAAAAATTATAAACTAATAAAATTGCAAATACAATTTCTTGCCTTAACAAAATGAACCAGTGACCATAATCTCCATCCTCATACCTGTGCCGGTTCAGTATTGCAGCTATTTTGCATTCAGTAAAGGTTTCAGTTACTCTGATTATTTTTTATACTAATATTTTATATAATGTTTTCCTCTTCCTTTTAAAAAAATTTATTAAAACATCTAAGGTACTTATTGAATTAGTTGTTGAAATATAATAAATAATTGATAATTGATAAATTAAGAACCTATGAGTTTTAATGTACGAGCTCTTGCATAGATTATTGTAGGACTTAAATTAATATTTTTAAAATTGATTTTGCTCTTTAAAAGGTTAAATATGTCGATCAACACTTCTCTTTCATGTTTTATGATTGAAATTTATGAGATTTTTTTATCTGAAAATTTGATTTGGGATGGTAGGTAGAACAACCATAGTTATTCTAATTCTACATTACTATAAGATAAACAAGGGTTTGTTAGAGAAAAATTTTATGAATTTGGTTAGAGTATATAAGTCAATAAAAAAGTAAAAAAATATAATTTGAAATGCAATTGAATTAAGCAACCACTTGGGATAGGTACGTACAGCAAAATGCTAAGCACCAAGAATTCTAATAACACCATTAGTTGATTTCCAACCGTTGACAAAATTTTTCATCAGCTTCGTTCTAAACCTCTAAACAAAACAACCCTAAACTTGTCGAAAAAAAAAGGAGAAAATTCGTAAATAAGAATGTTAATTTTATTTTTTTATTTAAAAATATTAATTTTCAATTTTTACTATTTAAAAATTAATTAGATAATAATACTAACGTGACAAACAAATTTTTTAATTAAAATATTAAAAATTAATATTTTTAAATAAAAAAAATTAAACATTAACCATTTAATTTAAAAATTAACAAAACTAATATATTTAAATAACAAAATATAAAGTTGATATATTTACTTACAACTTTTTTCTTTAAAAAATTATTAAAGTTTAAACTAAATCATACTTTTCACAAAACATTTTTGGGACAAAACCATAGAGAGAAGTGCTATGGTCGCTCTTTGTCTCCCTCTTGAACCATTAAAGAGGTCATAGATTCATGGTAAGTGCACCCTTCCCCAATATTTTAGGTGGGTGTTCAATTCTCCATCCCTCAATTTTGTAATGGTTCAAAAAAAGAAAAAGAGAAGTAGCGAGGATAGGCGTGCTTCAACGCTGGCTCTATCACTTTTCCCCATCTTGTTGTCACGTAGCAATACAGGTTGACATCAAAATAAAAAATTATTGCAACTGGTTGTTTGATTACCTTATGTGTCAGCATCTAATTTATCTATTTTGGTTCATCAATAAAATCAGTTACCAGTCACTGTAATTTCTCTCACACCACAAGACCCTCTTTCTAATTTCCCTCCCTTGTTTTGCCTTACGAGTCATCATTTTAAGGACCAATTTTCTTTACAATTCGAGATACTATATGGAATTTAGAAAAACTATTATGAAATCTTGACAGTATAATTTGAATCATTTTTTTATGAGAAATAAACTTTTTCACATTAGAGATCCTTTTCTCATTTAATGATTTTTATTTTGTAATTCAAATTGTGAAATAAAAAATTTATAAAAGTATAAAATAAGAAACTCATGAAAGTTCAACTCATTTTTTCTATCATTGACGGATAGATATTTCTCTTTCTTTCTTTCTTTCTTTCTTTTTTTCTCTCTTGAGAAATTTCAAGAAATAATAAGATATTTTATAGTTTGAAAATACTGATATTACAATTTATATCATTAAATAAACGTGAATTTATTGATATTGAAAACCACTTTTTTCGTCTAATAATTTTTATTTTACAATTTAAATTATATAAATGAGTACTTTTTAAGAAATGAACATACCAATTCCTACGAGATATTAGCATTTTCTAAGGCCAAATTGATGAGATCACGTATCATTAACATTGGACTTTAAATGATACATTTTTAGTTCAAGAACTTAAAAATTACTCCCTCCATTTAT